CTAGATTCATCCTTAAGTATCTGCTTGGTGACTGGAAGCTCGGTCTTGCGGGGGGGGGGTGGGGAATCTCATGGTACTGTGGAGTAAGTACTGTGTTTGGGGTTGGTTATTTCTAATGCTTGATCTGCAAAGAGATTACAATGTATTAGTGGTTGGATGGGGATTTCTGGGTTCTGGCTAGAACGCAGTTTGGTGATGCCCATTGACCAGAATCTAGATTTCTGCTACTATTCTAAGTGCACTTCCATGCAATTCTGTTAAAATGTTTAAGGAGCAGTTAGAAGCTTCCGAGCAATTACTTTGTCATGTTTTTGACTTTTGAAGACAAGTTACAAATAAAGGTCATTTAATTTATAAAATCCTATCTTCGTGTCAACTCTTGTGGTTTCTTCTTCCTTGCGGTCCATACATTTCATTTTGGCACCTTCCTAAAAACACTTCTTTCTGGCTGTGCAATGCTGCAGAGAGCACAGTAGGTGTTGAGAAATGCAGAGACTTCAACTTTTGGCTTCCATTAAATAGTTTGTACTGATTAGTTGCAATTTTATTTATAATCTTTCAAACTGTGGACCACGCAGGTTATGAAAAATAGTTCAGATTGAGTTCAGAGCAAGTTCTGCTAGAGCTGGCCAGAATACTGCAGGTGCAGTCTTGTACATGGATACTCCTATAAGCCATAGAAAAAAACCCCCAAAGTTTCTTGTTAAACTGGGGAAGTGTGACTGTCCAGCAGGGCTTTTCTGAAATCTTTACAGCTCCCATAGCTTTAACTCCTCTGGCTGTCAAGTTTATGGTGTTTACATCCTTATGTTGTCCTCGGTTTAGGTAGCTCCAAATGAGGATGTGGAGGCTGGCTTGCAGCAATGACCGGTCAGAAATTGCTTGTGCTGGGTGATTGTTCCCTGTCTGTGCAGACCCATTCCTTGACTATACAACTTGGGTTTGATTTGCATCAATTTATTACTTGGGAATTATTTCACAGAAGGTACAGACCAAAAATATTGACTGGAAAATGCATGCTAGTTCTACTTTTATCTTTGATTACATTAGTGTATGAGTAAGAAGCAGTGTCCTGGCACCTGCTAGCTTGGTAACAGCCGAATTCACAGCACTGCTTTCTGTGCTGCAATGAGCATCCCATAGAACCCCTCAGAGATAGACTTAGCCATAGGCTTCCACTTACTCCAGCTGCTGAAGAGCTTTGTGTCTCTATGCTGCTGACTTCATCAACTTAACAAATACAAACATGTTTATACATGCTGTGGTATGTCTTACTGATGCTGGTTGATTTAAAAAGACATTGTGTTGAGAGGTGCCTGAGTTCCGTGTATAGCCTTGATTCATCTCATTTGCGTGCAGAAACTCGTGATGAAAAAAAGCCTTATTATAGAACAAGCTAGTTTGGGCTTCTAAATCCAGTGGAGTGTTAGTGCAGAAGAGTGAAGTACTCTGCCAGAGCTGCTCTCACCTCGTCAGCAGCCCATCTTGCAGCTGCAGCAAATCCCAAGTGCCCATTGTTGGCGATAATGCAATCGGGCCACCTCGGACCTGCGAAATTCCCCATGTCTGGCACAGGGAGTCAGCCTTAGGAGGACGATTAGTGCAGAGGGAGAGGGACAGAATGGGAGGAGGCAAGCTTGCAGCTGAGCTATTTTTTCAAACGAATCTGTCTCTGGTCAAAGACTGGCCTTAATAGGTCTGATAAAATGCTGTCAGCTTTAATTGCCTAACACAAAGGCATCGCTTCAGCTGGAATTACAGCAATAAATCCCCCTGGTCTCTTTACACTGGGGGGATGAGATCTTGTAAAGGATCCCATCTATAATAAAGCATTAATGGTATATTCTAAGTCCTCATGTCACCTGATTGACAAAGGCACAGAAAATTTGCTTCGAGGCTTTTGGCCAGCTATACTGGATGGTCACTGGTAAGACCAGTGTAAGAAGGATTAACCTCTCGTGCAATACCGAGGCTATGTTAAGTCATGGAAAAGCAAATCAGGGATGTGCTTACGGTCCTAAAGCTTTTCTTTGGGTTAAATGTACTAAAAATGACAACGGGCCATTTGCCTGTTTTGGGGGTGGGGTTTTGTTTCTTTTTCTAATGCAGAGCTTCATGTCACAGTTGCATTGGTCGGTGGTTCGTTCTTCAAAAGCAACTCATTTTTTATGGACTCCATTATTCTCCAGGTGATACAAACTACGACTGTTGAAACCGGCATGAAAACTTCCCTTTCCTTCCCTACTCCTTCCTCAAAACTCACTCAGCGCTCAGTGAAAATAAGCGTTGCTGCTACAGGCTTGGGTCTCTCTTCTAGTCCTCCTCACATTTGTTCTGTCTTTACCTAGTACTCAGACACCGGGCTTTAAAAAAGTAATACAGTGGAGCTTCTGGGAGCTGTTTTAGTACCCCCGTGCAGTGGGGTTCCTTTCCATAACCTGGGCGTGGGGGGAATAAACCCAGCCTGGTGGCTGGAGCCGCTGGAGCCGTGACCGGCCCGGCGTGCGCCGACAGCAGAGGGAGGTCTTGCATTTTGGAGAGAACGGGGCTCGCACCTCCCGACCCAGTGCTCGTCCCCGCCCTCCTCCACCGGGCTCAGGGCCCTGTGGTGGATTTCACGGAGCTTCTCCGGTCTTGCAGTGAGGGTGCCCACGTCAGCCCCACACCTCATGGCCAGAAATTCCCTTCGCCCCATGGCAGCCTCCCTTGGCAGCAGGAGCTTTGCTCTGCAGCGGGATATTTGAGATGCTTCATGTAGCCGTGGGGCCAAAGAAGGTAAAAAGAAGAATTTGCGGCAGACTTGCCGCTCTGGAGGTGGTGAGCGTGTGCCTGCGAGCTCCAGACTGGCCGTCCACGTGGGTCTGGGTCTGGAGCTGTGCCCTAGGCTGGTGGCAGGGCTGTTCTGACCACCCGGGGCTCAGCAGCTGCCAGAGCCCGGTGGTCTAGTGCGATGGCTGAGAAAACGCTGCCATTTCCAGCCCGTGAATCGTTGCAGAGCTTCCCCTCCCCTCTGGTCTCCTGCTTTCTGTCCTGTAGCTCGCTGGCTCACGGGCACAGGCAGGTCAGGCCACTCTCTCCCTTGATCTCGATTTTTCCTCTAGCACATGCAAGTTTTTTCCACACGCAGTGGTTGGAACAGATCTGATTATTAACATTTCAGAAAGAAGAGAGGAGCCGGCTTTGCTTCTTGAAAGAAAACCGCCTAGTTGGGTTCCTCGTACAAGTGTCCCCAGCGTAACCACATCCGCGACAGGTGGAAAAGCACGGGGGGGCACCGACGAGGCACGGGGGGAGGCACCTGCAGCAGCACCCAGGCTGCTGCCCCCTGCACCGCAGGGTGCTGCTGCATCTCTGGATGCCCGTGAAAAATGGGGTGGACCTGCCCTCTGTGATTTGCATCCCCCAAGGCCTTCAGGGGCACATTTTCCCCTCAACTTCAGACTGAGCCAGAGATGAATTGTGCAGATAAAACACCTGCTGAAAGCCACGAGCAGAGGAGGGACGGATCCAGCTCCAGAGCACGTGGCTGCAGGGGGAGAGTTTGCAAACGCATCTCGTCTCTGCAGGACTGCGTGTGGCTGGCAGGACAAGCTTCCCAAGCTGTTCCTGCCCCGAGGAAAGACTGACAGTGAGCTCAGCCCCCACCCTGCACTGCAGCCGTGCCAGTGGAAAGCTTTGCTCCCCACTTCTGCATTTCAGGCGGGTTGTGGCTAAACAGCAACGTGTGGTCAGCAGGGGCTGGCGGAGCCGTGTGTGACGGCTGAGTCACAAGTGGCCCTGCACCACGGGCCCTTTTTCGAGTGGCAGGACTGGGCGCTGGCTGGGAGTGAGGAGGCATTCCCAGCAGGTCCCATTCCTCCTCCTCCCGCAGCCGCCCGCCGCCGGCAGCTGTCTTGGCCCAGAGCTGAGCGTGGCTCCCGCAGCAGGTGCCTGGATCCGTGCCCTGAGCCCTTCCAGCAGGGAAATCCCCACGTGAGCCAGGGGGATGGGGCAAGCTGGAAGCCCGGGCTGGGTTTTTTAGCTGCCAGGCCGGGGGAACCGCTCCGGCTCTGCTCACCTCTCCCCCAGCACCTGCTAGCAAGGCCCGGGCACCTTCCCGTGGGCACATGTCCCCTGAGGAGCAGAAAGCCAAAGGGACCGTGTGCCTCGCTGGACCTGTTTCACCCACACTGCCATGCCCGCGGGGAAGGAGTTCGGGGAAGGCAGGAGGGAAGAAAATGAGAGAGGAGCTTGCTAGGGGAGGCTGCGCTGCCTGAAACTTGCCCAGCAGAAGGGAGAAGCATGCCCGGGCAGGTGGTCCTGACCCCTGCCTGGGGGAGGGAGTCAGCAGAGGCTCTGCTGGATGCGTCACGCTCCTCTGCAAGTCACTGCCTCTTCCCAGAGGATTAATAACCTGTGGCGAAGCGTGCTCCCCCCGCGTGGCTGTGTCCCGGCAGTGCTTTGGAGCAGCGGGGCACGGCAGAGGCTTGTCCTAATCTGCACCGCAGTCCCCAGCGGTGGGGCAGGGGCAAGGACAGGCACGCGTGGGGGGCCCGGGGCTCACCCTCCTGGCACACCGCCTTCCTCCAGCCCCGCCGCTGCAGGTCTCCCCAGAGACCGTGGGTCTGTGGCACGGCCCCTTGTCCTGCTTCGCTCCGGAGCATCGGCTGCTCCCCACGGGGAGCGCGGCACAGGGTAAACGCCAGAAATGGCTCCTTCTTCATCATCATCAGCAGCAGCAG